TGAGGGAGGAGACTGGAATCCAGCAGGAGATCACACACACACACACACGAATACACCCACACACGTCTATCAACTGGCATAAATACAGGGGGTGGATAAAGTAACTACAGAACTATTTAACAACACAGCAGCACTGCAAAAATAAACAAACAGCTATTAGTTGAAGCTCATACGATGTTCGGTTCTCAGAGGACAGATTTAACTTGCTTTTTTTGAAGCCATGGGTCATGTGTCCAGTTTAGTGTATTCCAGTCAGTGTTGGTGAGGCTGTGTGTGTAGTGAAAAGAAAAGCCTGAGAGCGCATGGGTCAAAGAGTAAAGCAACATTAACTACTGCACCTCACTGGTGTCTGCCTTCCACTACAATGGTGGTTAATGCGATTTTGATTAGTGGTGCTCAAAGATTTGAAAAAATGGCATTTGAAAATGTTGCAAACAAACATTACTGTCATTATGTGTTTGATTTTAGTTAATCAGAGTGTAAATTCAGTTTCAGATGAAATATCTGACAAAAACAAATGGAAATACTTATTCTTGCTGTGTTAAAAACATAAGGGAAAGCTTAAATTACTGAATTGCTCTGCCAGTGTTTCTTATGTCCTCCTTTTCATGTCTTACAATTGTGTTTTAATCACTTGTCTTAGAATTAAAATCCTGGTATGCTGCTGTAAAATTAAGTTTAGCATAATTATTATAACCTAAATTCACAATTACAATAGTGTCAAGCCCCGGCCGATATCCCTGCTTCCTATCATCTCTATGAGTAAGAGAGATGAAGCAAAACATATTGAGGTGATAAAACTTTTTTTCCAGATCAGCTGATCTTCCACAGCAACTTCACATAAACAGACACTAGATGGCAGCATTTAACAGAGAATAACACCAAGCTGGATGTGGATTTAAAGGGGTGCTCTACTGATTTTACACATCGTTACCCCATGAACACTTCTACAGTTGTATTATGGGACATTTAGGATTCAGTATTTTTGGAATTTGACCATTACATGTTTTCAGTGGTGGAAGAAGTACTGTAAAAATATTTAAGTTACAGGTAAAAGTCCTGCATTCAAAATTTTACTCATGTAAAAATATTAGCATCAAAATATACCTAATGTACCAAAATAAAAATACTCATAATGCAGAGTGGTCCATTTCAGGGGGAAAAATACATATAT